GCCAGTACAAATACAAGTATATGCAGGCTGTCCATTCAAGCTATCTGTCAGAGTGTTTGAGACAGTTGTCACTGTTTGCTGGTAGTTGCTGCAAGTGGGACTGAGAAAATGAATTGATTACAGAGGAGGAATTATAGGACCTTATTACATTTTTTCCCATCCAGTTTTCTGTGGTTTCTGATGAACGTAACACACTGTCTACCCATGACTTAGAGCTATAAATTCAGGTAAAGGTGAAAGTCAATGTGTACATGGACTGTCATGGAAAGTACCACCAAGCCATCATATATAACTGATGCAGACACCTGATTTTGAAAGAGTCAAGCTGTTGCTCCCTCTTTTAGACAAATGGAAAGGATGTAACATTTCCTGGTGACATGGCTGTAGGAACTGACTGTTGTCAGCTAGCACATTTTGCAAGAATTAGCACCTAGTATCAACAAAATTGCATTAATCAAAATGCATGAACTAGCAAGTCCTAAATAAAGCAAAACTAAAATACAAACCCTCTTAGCACTTGTCCCAGTTTTCCTAGAACAGAATATTCCATTTCATACTGAGGGAAAATTATTCTTTGTCGATGAGTTATAATTGATGAATATTTAAGGAAAAAAAGAAATATCAGAGCTTCTGTAAAAAGAAAAAGGCTTTTTTCTTTGGGAATAGTGTCAAAATAATGTCATTTTATGTATGTAGGCTACATTTTGCTTAAATAAGCCGGTCACAGGCTATCTTTTCTCTCCTTCCACAACTTATACATCTAATGAGCAAAGATGTGTACTTTCAATCAGACCTTTTTTTTACTATTGCAGGCAAACATAAAGTTAATTGAAAAAGAAAGTAAAAATTGTGATCAATACTATAAAAAGCAAAGGGAAATACAGGTTCAGAATTTCATTAGGAAGAAGTTAAGCAGAAATCAATTTTACTTGCATATTACAAAGGTATTAATTACAGTTCCTTGTGTACTAATAATATAACAGTTTGTTAAAAAAAATCCAATTTAAAAAAAAAATTCAAAACCAATAAGTTGGCAACTGAAGAGTGAAGAATCATTGTGCAATTTATAGGCATCCCCTTTCTCTTACAGCAAGTCCAGGCAATTAATGAACAAGATGTTTCTGATTCTGTATATATGAATATAATTCTTTTACTGTTATTTGATTTTACTTTTCCTGGCTTTTTTACACTGGCAATGTGTAGCGAATCCTCCCCTGTGATTTGAATTATACTTGCTATTACTTCTTGTCTACATGGAACTCTTGGTATAATAAGTTATAGTAGAGATTTTTAAGTCCATCTAGTTCCAATCCCCCTACCATGCAAAGAGACGCCTTCCAACAGACCAGGTTGCTCAAAGCAACCAACTTGTCCTTGAGCATTTCAAGTGATGGTTAGTTCTTTCATGTAGTGTAGTTGGGTTTTTTTTCATTGTATGTTTGTATATAGTATCATGAAAAACATCCTGGGGTTTTATAGTCAAGATATTTATCCATTGGCTGGTGATTTCTCTGGTCCTTTATCAGACGCTCTCCTTCCTGGAAAGCCACTGGCATCAAGGGGTAGGTCAGATGTGTTGCTTTGACTGTAGTCTCCTATTTGTGGCCATTTTCTTTTCCAACAGCTTGGTGGTTTCTCCTCATAATTTGATGGCCTATAATGTGGTAAAAGAAAAGCTATGGAAAAGCTCTTCAAAGGAAGATTGGCAACCAGGAGTGGGTCTGCCACTGCTGGAACAATGCATCCTCATCCTTGTCCAGATACACATGAATTGCTCCAGTGGTTGCAGCCTGTTGCCAGCTTCATCCTTCCCAAGAGGTCCTCAGGCACTGGTGCACAGACAGGGTGTCTGCATGTGTACGTGTGTCTTTGTTTGTTGCAGTTGATTTTTGGGTGTGTAGCAGACCCAGTGCTTTCCCAGAAAGAGTCTCGGCTGTGTGTGTGGATGTGCAGTTGCTGTCACAGTAGGCATGGACAAGATCCAGAGAGAGAATCGCAAAATGTGCTTTACTTCAGCCTCTCAAAACAAGTATGTCAAACTCCCAGCAGGGAAGTCAGAGCACTCCTGGTGCAGGGTTTCATTTTTACTTTCATTAAAGCAGAAAACATGCCAAAACAATGAAGAGATTATAAAGAAATGGAAAATAAAACTTTCATCATTAATTAAGAACTCAGAAGCTGGAATAAGACAATTCATTCATCATAAACAAGCAACTCACTCTCTGTTGCACTGAATAACTTGTTTTCTTTCCTATATTTCCATAATATCTAGAATCCTAGAATCCTAGAATGGCTTGGCTTGGAAGACACTTTAAAGTCTAACTAGTTCCAACCCCTGCCATGGGAAGAGACATCTTTCACTAGACCAGGCTGCTCAGAGCTTCATCCAACCTGGCCTTGAACATTTCAAATGATGGCTAATTCCTTAATACAGTGTAGTTGGGTTTTTCCCTTGTGTGTTTAGATAATTGCTTCCACAACAGGTGGTAGAAGCTAAATAGGAATTTAGCACAGACCTTTCAATTCAGCATATTGCATGTGGTGGATTGGAGAAGCAACATAAATCATATGAAAATTTACACAAGCTGACTTTAATACATGGTCAGTGTTACTGTGCTTGTAAGTCACAGTGTGGGTGTATAAGCATTTTCAACTAGTGTATAACCTTTATTTAAAACATTTTATATTATTTTGAGTAGAAGAGAATAGAATAGCATAACCTTTATTTTAAATATTTGATATTATTTTGAATAGAAGAGAATAGAATAGACTGTTCCAGTTGAAAAGGACCCACAACAGCAGTGCCCAGTTCATGACTGACCAAATGATAAAGCATTGCTAAAGGCATTGTTCAAATGCCTGTTCAAATGCCACTGGCAGGCTTGGGATACACCATCAATCTGCTCCAGTGTTTGACCATCCTCTTAGTATAGATCTCCTCTGGTTGGGAACTTAACTGGCATATCATCAAAAGTAAAAATCTTGAAAAATCTGCATATCCTGGGAGAACCTTACCACTGAATCAGCAGAGGCAGCCTAGTATTTCTGATGCTGTAACAATATCCATACAGACCAGTCTCTGAGGCGGTAGAGAGCCCTGCTCATAAGAACATAATCACACAAATTCTGCCCACAGACAATTTTTCTAAAGCATTTTAGTGTTGAGCTGTTGTCATTAATATTTGGGAGTCATGATATTGATATTTATGCCTGTTTGTGCTGGAGAGCTGTTAAAAGCAGGAACATAAAGTCCAGTGAACCATTGCATGAAGTAATGGTTTATCTGTGTCACTACTTTTTTTAAGTAGAGCATAAGAGTACGTAAAAAAACTTTTGGTTATTCTCTGTCATCCAGAAAAAGTTGTATAAAAATAGAAATGCTCACATTCATCATTGTTCTGCTACTTTACAATATCAAGATATTTTATACTGCTGTTCACAGTTGATCATTATATTAGGCACTCTATGAGCAAAGAATTGTGCAGGCCCTTTATGTTATTTACATAATTCACTGAGTATGAATAGTACTATTTTCCATAGGATAAAGAAGGGTGAAATAGCAGTAAAATACTAAACCAAGATAAATGTACATTTTTAAGCAATTTTAGACAGAGTATCATAGTAGAATAATTTTCTAAAAAAAACCCCAAAATAACAAAAATCTTCCAATTATTTAGATGTATTAGTTTTTATAAGGCAATAATTAACCTATTCACTACAGTCTTATTCATCAAGTGAGTTCTTCAGAAAAAGAGATCCTGTCAGGTGCTGCAGACAAAGCTCTGAGTGGCATCAGTACTGTTAATGCCTCAAATAATAACTGTAAGGATTGCAAAATGATGCATTATTATCTAGCAGACATTGATCATAATTATATCACTGACAAAGGCAAAGCATATCAAATGTTGTATTTTAAATATGTCCTTTAATTAGAATAAAAATACCACAGAAATAATTTCAGTTGGAGCTGTGTGATCCTTCTAAATACAGAATGTAATTTTTTTCCATATACTCAGGATGAAAGGAGTTATCACTCTAAGATATTTGTCGTTGTCGAGGCAGGACGGGAATGAAGAGACTCTGACCAGATCAGAAGTCTGGTGAAAGTAAAACTCCGATTTATTCAATACACTGCTCTTTTATACAGAGCTTCGTGAGGACCAAATCCATTGGTTCTGAAGTGAAAACAACCCAAAGCATTGGTGCAAAGTGCTTGACGCACAGTGATAGAACTTAACTATAAACAATGTGAAAACAAGAGAGATAAAGAATTATTTACATTCTTTTCCAACTCTTTCCCAGGCATCTGCCTGGCTAGAAACTCCTGTTTCTCTCTTTGACTGAATCTGAGTCCCACAATATTCACTTACTAATTTTCATTTCATAGTTGTGGTATATTAGGCATTATAGATGGTTCACCATTTTGCTTTATGACAGAGCAGAGCTCTGATAACTATGCTGTGTCTAAAATATAGTTCCCTCATTTACCTGCCTGCTTGGACTGAACTGCAGAATCTTAATTTGCTGTCATGGTTTCCATGATCCTTTGCTCATGTCACAATGACCACATTGCATGTACAGCATAGCCTTCATCTTCTTAAGGTAAAGCACAGACCCTTTCATCCTTGCAAAATGAATAATTAAACTAGGATTTTAATATTTGTGCTTGCTTTTGGGTTTATTAGCTCTCACTGTGAAAGCTAAATCAATTATTTTGTATGCTCCATCTGACTAACTCTTGAAAAAATAGACTGGAGTTTTCCATATATCTGTTCTGGCTTTAAGCTATCTTAAAATAGCACTATTGAAGAAATGGACTCTGCCAATTGAATAAGTGACTTTCTTACTATTACAAGCTTCAGGTTTGCATAAGGACCAGAAGTGTAAAGCAAAGTTAGGGAAGATGTTTGTCACTGATAAGGTCATATGGTGGTAATATAATTCTTCTGCTGTGCCTTCCTCACTTGAATTTGTTTTTTTTTTTTTGTTTGTTTCTGCAGACCCCAGAGGAAGGAGCCTCTACAACCATCTGTGCAGCAGTATCGCCCGAGCTGGAAGGAGCTGGTGGCTGCTACCTTTGCAATGAGGAAAGGACAAAATCGGCTGACGTAGCATATGATGAGGAGCTGCAGAGAAGGCTCTGGACAGAAAGCTGCAAGATGGTTGGGATTTCTGATGAAGCCAGCAGGCTTCCCTAGAAGAAGCCACTTTCATCTGGGTAAATGAAACACATTGAGAAGCATCTTAGGTGAATTCTTGCAGCATCAGTCATCATCCTGGAAATCACTGTTCAGTCCCAAAGGCAAACGTGAACAGCTCTGTTCTTCACTTGAATCCCTAATCTACTAGGGTGCGGGGGGAATATTCCCACAGAAAGGTGTAGTGGTTGGTTTTAAATCTAACCATCAGTTTTGTAAATCATTCTGTTTCAGTCTGTGATTAAAATACAATCTTTAAACATGTGCAGAGATGAGTTTTCATTGTTTTGTTCAACAAAAATAATGCTTGAACATGTTGTGCTGGGAGGTTTTGAACTTAAACCACCTTTGTAGATACAAGTTACTCTTTTAAATCAGTTTTAAAAGTTGCAGCTTTATTTCCTTAAGCTTCATTAATCTTTAAGATACTTTCATCATCTTGTTCTAATGCAGAAATTCGGCATTCATGATCGTGATGTTGTTTTTGTCTTAAGGTTAGTTTTATATGTCAGCTTTTATCCAGAGGTATTAACTGAAGGTCAGAATAACAAGAAAAAGTAAATAAATAAGGTCTTCTTCAAACAGGATATTGAATTCACTTGTTTCCAGTTTAAGTTCATCTCTCCTATAAAGGTGAGGAAGGGATCAACCATCATAATGGCAACACTGGCTTGGCAGTTGGCCTGCTGTCTTGTCAGTGGGCTAAGATTTACTTGTCCCCTTTTCTCCTGAACCCCTGTAATGTTGCATCTACAGTTTCATTCATTTTCTTTGACAAGGAGACCCACTCATGTACTATTGCATGAAGAATCACCTGCTTTTGTTGGTTTTGATCCCAGTTCATATTAGTTTCAGAACTAGAGTTCATGGTTTGGAAGAGACAGCAATTAATGCCAGCCACTTTTTCCTCTTTCTGGAGATGTACAATGTATCCTCCCTAAACTGTGTCTTTGCCATTTTTAAGAATAGCCCCTGCCTACTCATCCAACTTACATAGGAGCAAGAGGGTAACTTCCCTTCAGTTGTGTGTGTCTTTCCTAAAATTTCCTAGCAGTGTTTTAGTTTAAATTTTATTTGACTGTCACTGAGTGTGGAGCTGATACGTTTTATGAAGCTACTTCCAGCAAACACTAGGGTTTCCCCCCTCACTGGGATGGCAGCTGGTTCAGATGCTATCAGTTTTGAAAACACTTCAGTTGTATACAGTTCAGGGAATTCCACCTGTGTCTGCCAAAGAGAATCTTTAAGAATGATGTTCACATTCATGGAGTAAAAAACTAAACAGACATTGGGCAGTACAAAGATACCTTGAATTTATACAAGCTCAAATAACTAGAAGAAAAAAAAAAACCTGGAATGGGAATGGTGGTGAAACATAATTTTCAGAGAAAATTCCCTGGACAGTTTCAGTCAAGATTGTAAGTCCCAAAAAAAACATCTGGAAGTGTCTGGGGAGACCTTACAGCAGCCTTGGGGTACTTATAAGGGCATACAGGAAAGATGGGGAGGGGGTTGGGCAGTGTAGTGATAGAAGGAGGGGTAACGGTTCTAAACTGAAAGAGTGAAGATTTAGGTTAGACATTAAGAAGAAATACTTCACTGTCAGGGTGCTGAAGCACTGGAACAGGTTGCCCACACTAATTGTGTGTGTCCCATCCATGGAAGTTTTCAAGATCAGGTTGGATGGGGCTTTGTTTTAGTGAAAGATGTCCCTGCTCATGGCAGGGGAGTTGGAAACAGATATCTTTTAAGTCCATTCTGATCCAAACCATTCTGTGATTCTTTGATCTCTTCTCAGTGAGTCTTTCCAAGCATGGAATTTGTGTCTAGGGAGCTTGAGGTGTTATTGTAAATGGAGTAAGGTCTACCCTACTCCCATCTTGTTGATTTTAGGTGCCACCTAAAAAAGCCACATAATGCTATAAATGTCCTTGCATGTCCTTTTTTCAAGATGCACGGGGAAAGAGACTAATATGTGGGCATAAAGCATTTTGAGGAGCTGGAAATCACTGCATGACAGAACCAAGTGCAAACACAGTGTTGTGCTCTCATTTGCAGCAGACTAGAAACGGTAGGAACATGTTCCTATGCACTGAACCTTGGACTAACATCCCTTTTGGGCTTTTTAGCTCAGACTTAGTACTTCATTCCAAGTGACCTTATCTCCAGCCTTTGGTTCAGAGTAAGATCACATCTAAGTGAAAATAAGCATGCTCACATGTCCAGAGTCTAGGAAGAAGATGCACTGACAAAAAAAAATGTATGAACAAAGAAGAGCATCTGGTAACAAAAATAAAATTAAGCCATGCATGTTCTATTTTTATCTTCTTAGAGTTGGTATATACAAGGGTTAGCAGCAGGAGATTTATCACTCAGTCACTATAGCACTTTCTCTGTATGACTGGCTGACTTTTTTTTGGTAAGTGAATGTAGTGCTTGTAAAATGTGCCAGACTGACACTCCGGGAACTAAATTCCTCTGTTTATTCACGGATCATGCACAGGATGCAGTAAGCCTGCTAGACAGCCAACATTTTGATGTTGCCATAGCATTCCCATGGAACATCATTGCTGCTAACAGCATGTCCAGGATTACTCAAACTAGATGGGATGAGATTATCATCAGTTTTAACTCTCTCAAAGCTCCACAATATTTGCCCAACCAGTTTCAAGTGGCATAGGGATTATTGAATTATCAAACAGTAAAGAGAACTAGTCATACTTTCAGTGTAATCTGAACCAATTTATTAATTTCCTCAGTCCAGTGAAATCTGTTTTAAACACTGAAAACATGGTTTGTGAGAACCAAGAACACAGATGTGGCTGAGTTAGGGGGGAAAAAAGCGTCCTAAGGCCAGGCATTTCTAGAGCATTGTAGTTCATAAAAATACAGTTGAGCTAGTTGCAAAACTGTTATCTCAGGAACTAAAAGCAGAAAACTGTGTCAGCTTTGCAATGTCACACAAGCATGTGAGCTTATCTGGAGCAAAACCCAGTGTTGTTATAAAGTAGTCCCAGTGTGAATGAGAATAATCAATCACTCATGATACTGCAGCAAAAGTCCAAAATAGTTCTTAACATATCTATCTGGGAAAAACTACTTGAAACATGTAAAAAGATGACAATAATTTTACTTTTGCACAGATAAATGGTTAAAGCTGATTTAATCTCACATGTAAAGGTCAGGGGATTTCCAGAGATCTGGACAAGGCTGTATTTCACTTCACTGAATATGCGGCTGAGAGGTGGCTTTGTAGTAGGTACATAAGTATAGAAAAAATACCTGAGAGCTCTTTAACCTTGCAAAGAAAGACTAAAAAAAAACCAATAATGGTAAATTGAAAGTAAACAAATTAACCTTCCAACATGAAAGGAGATCCTCTCTGAAAGTGATTTCATATCGTAACATGTAGATCTGATAACTGAAGATAATTAAAAGATGCCTCTGAAATGACGTTTGGCAAATAGGCCAGGTAGGCTCTTAAGAAATGTAGGTCAGTCACAGTGAAGTCATACTTAGATTCTCCCTCACGTCTACAATGACAGCACTTATTTTGATTAGTATGAGAGTGACCCATTGCTCACAACTTCTAAAATGGATATTTCTTTGCCAATACTTCTCCCAGGCTAATATTTAGCTCAGAAATCAAAGTCCCTCTACCTTGGCACAAAAAAACACATAAAATCTTTTTTCCAGTTCAAGTCTGAGATAAACAGAAGCATCCACTAGGTACCAAGGTGACTGAGCCTACTGCCTTTGGTAGCAAAGTGAAACAATGTCAAACTAATTTTTTTTCTCATAAAGAAAGGATTACAATTTAAAAGTAAAAAAATAAATCTCTAAAAAAGGAGCAAAAAAAAAGATGACTCCTGTTATGAAGGATAGTTAAAATAATTATAGATCTTACAGGAATTAATGGATCATATGAGAATGAATGCAGTTGTCTAAGACAATGTTATTTAAACAAATAACTTGTACAGGAAATAAATAACTTGATGACAAAAGTGCTCTAACCTTCTTAGAAAAAAAAATTCCTCAATAATTAACTACTTTAATTGTCAACTGTGGGGAAATTATTTATAACTGAAAAGGTAAATGCTATAACTTGTGTGTGAATACAGTTATTTACACATAATGAAGTAGCTACATTCTTGCTTCCAGTTAAATACTGACTTTAGGGGCTAGATATGTAGCCACCAGCCACATTTCTGAAATGATATTTTATAAATATTTAGACTTCATAGTTGACTCTACACAACTATCAGTTACTTTAGTACACAGTGAGAATTGATATTGTAGAAACAAAGGACTTTGTTATTTAACACCAAGTTCGCTGCCGCCTCTTCCAAATGCACAGTAGTGTTAACTCTAAATATAACAAAACATGGCAGATATTTAAATGCTCATCCTAAACAAATTTTCTACATACTCTTGTTCAGTTCTGGTGTTAGGCTGGCCTTGTTCATTCTATGACATGGTTTCCACTTCAGCTGCCACCACGGAAAGACAAAAATCAGATTCCAGTGAAGTTAGCATGAATCCTGTCACAGTTAAGATAGAACTCCCATTATTTTAAGAGGGTGAGGCTGAGTATACTGACCCATCTGCGATAACTGAGGAAGTCAGTGCAAAACATATATTGTACATCAGGCCAGGCAAGATGAGTAAGCCCCAAACAATTATTTGAAGGTAATTTTATTCCTTTTTAAAACAAATGTACTGTGCTTTAGCAATCTACTGTGGCAACACTGAAGGAAGGTAACAGGAAGAAAACAAACCAGTGGCCAAGAGTGCTGTTTCCAAAAACATATAGTTATTGGCTTCCGTGATGTACCAACCCTTGTTGGCTTCTCTCCCTTTGGAAATGGATCTTAGCCAAGAATTCCTTTCACCAAAATGTAGCACTGACTCATTTATTTAGACAAACTGTCTAGATTGAAACCAATCACTTTAAAGTACAAGATTTCCTTATCCTGGAAAGGAAAAAGTGTAAAAAAAACCCCAAAAAACAACAAAAAAAAACCCCACCAAAAATCAGACTACGGCACTTTTTGTGTGATATTAAACCTGGTCACCTCTTCGCAGTCAGAATGCAAGGCACATTAAGATGATAAGCAGCTTTATGTCCTTTCCAAAGAATACAGATCAACAAACATTTCCTTCCCCTCTATCTTGGCACTGCCTGAACTCTAAAAATTACCTCAAGTAACATCACTGTTTGCAAACAAGCAGATCAATTTAATCTTTCACTTCCCTGTTTTGAA